TCCCAATTCCACCAAACACAGCAGGTTAAAAAATGTTCAGTTAAGCATATTTTTGAAATATTGTGACCGTCAGCACGGTCACACAAACGAAACTTCCATTTTCTTTTAGAAAACCCCCCCATATAATTTGTGCTTTTTTTTTTATTTCGGTTTACAAATCCTATATTGCCAGATGTATTTGATTATCTGCCTTCACACAGGACTTACTGTAAGACATTCCAATCTAAATCCACAGAGTTTAATAAGATTCACTACACCCTCTGTTGTAGGTTCAGCTCTTCTTGAAAGACTGTCAGAAGTTGTGGGAAACTGAAACGATTATATCTTAAACATCCAAATTATTCCAAAGTTTTTCTATTTGGCCAAAGTGAGGATTATGTTAAAACATTAAAGTTCTTTTACATTGAATTCTTTAATGCTTGCCTTAATGGGTGTAGAAATTGCAAATTTATTGTTTGCCAATCTCATGCATTTTAAACATTATTCATTATCACCACAGAGCTTTGAGATCTTTTGATGAATTGGACATGTATGAGTGTAAAAATCACTTACGGAGAGCAAGACAAATGATAACAGCAAGCTGAACTACAGCTAAAAGTCCAAGAATAACCGTAGACACTCTGCATCGTTGGAATCCTGTGTAAACACAAGTGGAGTGACAGAAATCATATGTTAAACATATTAAATGTAAACAAAACAAACAAAAAACACTTTAGGGGTGCATTTTAAAGATTAATCTAAAATTCTTATTGTTTTCAACATAAGTTTGTTATTAGATATTGTGAACAACTGCTAACAAAGTTGAAAATCATCATGTTTTTAAACTGACATTAATGGGTAAGCAAATTAGTGTCTTACCAGATGCAGGAGAAGAGGCTTTGCTGTCTTTTTCTGAATTGCTCTCCAGGTTATCCTCACTGGAAAAACGAATAGTACTGATTTCATTATATACTGCAGACATTTCAGATTGGTCCTTATGAAAAAACATTTCTTGTTTTGAAACAGCAGTGCAACGATGAACTGTACAGGAATATCGTCCTTGTTGGTTTCCTTCAGTACCTAAGATTCAGTTTCTTGATCTCAGTAAAAAGGCACACATATTGAAGTGATTCTCGTTTTTGAGGAAAACATCTTCCTCATTTTCTAGAAGTATTGGTTTTCTTTCTTTCCAATATATCAGCAACATTTTTAGTGGTATTTATAAGATAAGAGGGAGAAACCCAACCCCCTGTTTTGGTTTGTTTTGTATTGAGTTGTTAGTTAAAGCTTTGGAGGCTGGATTTCATCTAGGAAACAAAAAAAATTGACACACTTTATTTTGATTTTAGCATCATGTACAGTCTAGAGCTTAGAAAGTGGCCATGATTACATATTGGTTGATAATTTGTTTAATAATTTTTTAGTTTTCAAATTCCAAATTTCTTTGATTTGCTTGTGATATTTTATCAAAAAGTAATATAAAAGAAACAATAATATCCCTGGAATGTTTCTCAAATCTCGTCAAAATACAAAAATAATCTTTATGATAAATGTGTTGGTCTTGAAAGCATACACATTCCTGTTATACCAGAGTTTTGTTATACCCAAAGTAGGAAAAGGAATAAGAATGTAAGAAAACTTCTGAATTATTTTGCCAGAATTATATATATAAAAAAATACCCCTTTATGTTATGCTTCCAAACTGATGCTGATGCTACTGATTTTCATTAAAAAGTCTATTTCTTAACTGCGAAGGTTTAATGCAAAAACCTCTGTGCAGTAATTAAAGGCAAGAAATCCAGCTGCTTTTTACATTTTTTTCTTCTTAAATAACCTGGTATACATGCTCACTGTAAGCATGCTACTGCTTTACTGTCTTTGGTCATGTCTTTGGTTACGTGTTTGAAAATAATTTCCTGTTTACTGTCTAGTTTCAAAGTTGTTTGATTTTATCTGTTGTCCCTTAGGTGTTGCTTGTGAGCCATTTGCAGTCAAATCTATTTGTTGTAGTTAGAGATATTCTTACATTTAAGGACTTACCTGTCTTTTTCTTTCAGGGAGTTCACAGAAAATACCTAAAAAAGTAGGAAATTATGGAGCCCGTCTGGTGACATGCAAGAAAAATAGTTTACAAGATGTTAAGTTGTGGCTGCACGTTATTAATGCATGGGTACAATATAGATAGGTTGTGGTCTCAAGTCATTTGGGTATGAGCTCCTTATGGTGGTGTAGCATACATTCAAGAAACATGGAGAAAAGGCTTGATTTCATTTCAACATTTGGAATAAACTATAATTACATCCTGTGATTTCTTGGAATTAAACATCCAGTGTGTATGAGTAAGATACATTTAATTCAGGTGCTGAAGGCACACGGATTGAGACATAAAGAATAAACGACCTTTTGCCACGTTGTTGACTTCACCCAGAAGGAGCTGGATAGACCCTGCTGCATGGTTATAGGTGGATGCACAAAAATGTCAGATAAACAGCATCAGGGCATAAAAACAACGTGTATGAATAATCATTGTACGATGGCCACAACTTATCCATCTTATACCACCTCATTAGTAACGCATAGCCTCGACTTAACATCTTGTAAACTTGTCTTTCTGTCCATGTCACCAGACAGGCTCCATAGGAAATAAAAATGTTAGCCTTCCAGCTAATCCATTTTATAAGCAACTTTATAGTTGAACACAAAGTATGGCCAACAACAGCAAACTTCTTATCTCTACCCTCTGTGTGAGTACTAGTAGTCTTGTGAATATGCTGAAATCACAACACCACAAAACTTTGGTCACAGTAAAGAAATCATAGAAAGTCCCCGAGGCCTTTTGTGCACGTCAATGCATAATTACTTCCTGTATAAAAACAAGCAAACTCAGGCCAAATCATTTTTGGAATGTAATTAAACTTGATTTATATCAGTTATTCTGTTGCTGTTTAACTGAATTATAAAGTGACAGTTTAATTTCATGATTAATAGGATATTGGACATATGAATTGGATATACTTTATTGATCCCAAGCAAATTACAAATTGTATGTACGCCAGATGGCATAGTTTTAATGGAGTTCTCAACAGGTAACAGGGGCAGGAATCCCAAAATCCAACACAAAAATGCAAACCAGAAACATGAAGACATAAGGGAAAACATGCACAAGGAGCCATGGAAAGATGGGGAACGACAGGGAAAGACGAGGAACCAGCACTGAGGAACTGCACAGGGAGAGTATTTATGGGAAACTGAAAGACAGGACTGAGTTGATTGGGAGAAGGTTTGAACAGAGGCTTCTAGAAGAAGCTAGGGAAAAGGAGACCAACACCAGAGGGCAACAGAGGGCAAGCAAAGAAAAACCTAAGAACTCAAATATATCCAGAAAGCACCAATAAAGCTAGAAAACAGAGAAAAACATGGATCAACGTGAAACTGAAAACTGACAAAAAACTAACAAGACTGTTACAATATATGAATACATATGTATGATATATATATATATATATATATATATATATATATATATATATATATATATATATATATATATATATACATATAACTTAACAACACTTTTAGAGTACATAAAACACCTTCAATAGCAAAAATAAGACAACCAATGGTAGAATAAATCAAACTTACTGAGAAAATAGCATATCAGTCCGGTCTATAAAATGTGCTGCTGGTTTGTTTATTTGTCAGCAAGGATGTTTGTGTGTGAAGGTGATTGGCTGGCTGTTAGAGGAGGAACAGAGTGTTTAATCAGTGATGCAAATACTCTGTCTGTTTATAAGATTTGGTTTAAAATTGTTCTATTAATGTAGGAGGGGCTCGGGTTATCCTGAACCATCTCTATAATTATGCTGCTATAGGCTTCGGCTGCTGGAGGGCTTAAAAACAACTTGTCCTCACTGTTCTTCATTCTGCTTCTGTTTTCATATTGATCATCATTATTATAGTTTAGATTCAAACTTAATGTTCTCTGCCTTTACCCATCATGGTAGCTTCATATGGCCTAGTGCTCTCTTAAACTATTCCACCATCCTGGAGGCATCAGCTGCTGTCAATGACTTCAGTAATAGATGATAGATTTGGGCCTGTGTTTCAGTGTTTAGCCCTGTTTCTCTCCTGAACATAAGTAAGGGCTTAACTTTTACTTTGACAAAGTGAATGTGTTCTCTTTCATTCTTCTTGATACAACAATAGGCTCAGAGCTCATTTGCTTAACTGTTTCTTTCCTAAACAGAGCCACCAAAAACAAAGACATTTTTATTTGTATGTACTTTATTTTAAGGTTACCTATAGAAATTAGGTTGGCTTAGACTCTTTCATGACAAAGTAACAAAACACAGTTAATTTCAAACACAAATTATAGTACAATGACAAAACAACAACAAAGGTTACAAAATTAAGAATTCAAATAACAATAACAAGCAATTACTGTGTTATCAATTTATTTATTTATTTGAATAGGGACAATGCAC